CGGCTAAAAATGCCTTACTATACATGGTCGTTTTTTTTTATCGTCTTAAAACGCCTGATTATACATGGTCCTTTTTTTTCGTCGAAAAACTTCTTACTATACATGGTCGTTTTTTTCGGGTTAAAATGCCTTACTATACATAGTCGTTTTTTTTCGGCTAAAAACGCCTGACTATACATGTTCGTTTTTTCGGCTAAAAACGCCTTACTACACATGGTTGTTTTTTCCGGCTAAAAATGCCTTACTATACATGGTCGTTTTTTTTTATCGTCTTAAAACGCCTGATTATACATGGTCCTTTTTTTTCGTCGAAAAACTTCTTACTATACATGGTCGTTTTTTTCGGGTTAAAATGCCTTACTATACATAGTCGTTTTTTTTCGGCTAAAAACGCCTGACTATACATGTTCGTTTTTTTCGGCTAAAAACGCCTTACTATACATGGTCGATTTTTTCGTCGAAAAACTTCTTACTATACATGGTCGTTTTTTTCGGGTTAAAATGCCTTACTATACATAGTCGTTTTTTTTCGGCTAAAAACGCCTGACTATACATGTTCGTTTTTTTCGGCTAAAAACGCCTTACTATACATGGTCGTTTTTTGCGGCTAAAAACGCCTTACTATACATGGTCGTTTTTTTCGGCTAAAAACGCTTTACTATACTATACATGGTCGTTTTTTTTTCGGCTAAAAATGTCTTAACTATACGTGGTCGTTGTTTTCGGCCAAAAACGCCTTCCTATACATGGTCGTTTTTTAGGGCTAAAAACGCCTTACTCTACATGGTCGTTTTTTTCGGCTAAAAACGTCTTACTATACGTGGTCGTTTTTTTCGCCTAAAAACGGCTTACTATACATGGTCGTTTTTTTCGCCTAAAAACGGCTTACTATACATGGTCGTTTTTTTCAGCTAAAAACGGTCGTTTTTTTCGGCTAAAAATGCCTTCCTATACATGGTCGTTTTTTTCGGCTAAAAACGCCTTACTATACTATACATGGTCGTTTTTTTTTCGGCTAAAAATGTCTTAACTATACGTGGTCGTTGTTTTCGGCCAAAAACGCCTTCCTATACATGGTCGTTTTTTAGGGCTAAAAACGCTTTATTATACATGGTCGTTTTTTTTGGTTAAAAACGCCTTCCTATACATGGTCTTTTTTTTCGTTGAAAAACGCCTTACTACACACATGGTCGTTTTTTTTTTCGGCTAAAAACGCCTTACTATACATGGTCGTTTTTTTTCGGGTTAAATCGTCTGACTATATATGGTCGGGTTAAAACGCCTTACTATACTCTTATGTGACGAAGCAGCAGGCCAGGTGAAAAAAAGAATACAAAGGCAATTCAGCCAGGATCCAGGAAGGAGAGTTTTCAGTATTCTTTATTTCCAGGAGTAACAGTTGACCAGTTTTGAGCAGACGACGTATAGCACTGCTCTCCAAGTTGTCCGACGCGCAGTGACTTCCTCATTCCTCTTATAAAGGGAGTTCACTTGAGCTTCAGGCCAATCAGGTCCAAGCAACAATTGGTCATTCCCAGGTGGGTGCACTTACCTCTCCTGAAACAATTAGTTTTCTACAAAGTGCATTAAGTATCACACAATCCCAGTTTTGGATGGAGAGAAATGTACATCTTTCTTCCATCCAATATCCACAAAAAAACAGAATTTTTAATATATGTCTTTCGTCGTCATGACATGTACATGGTTGTTTTTTTTTCCGGCTAAAAACGCCTTACTATACATGGTCGTTCTTTCGGCTAAAAACGCCTTACGACACATGGTCGTTTTTTTCGGGTTAAAACGCCTTATGATACATGGTCGTTTTTTTTTCGTCTAAAAACGCCTTACTAGATATACATGGTTGTTTTTTTCGGGTTAAAACGCCTTATGATACATGGTCGTTTTTTTTTCGTCTAAAAACGCCTTACTATACATGGTCGTTTTTTTTGGGTTAAAACGCTTTACTATACATCTGGGGTGGCCAACCAGTCAGAGACGAAGAGCCAATTTTTTTACTGAGTTACTGCAAAGTGCCACATCATACCCTTCTTCGCGCACACTTTTTTAACTCATCAAGGGGCTTATTTTAAAGCAAATGATCTGTCCTTTCTAACATGTCAATACAGAGTAATGTCAGGTTACCAAAGTCAACTAAACACAGCTGCCCCATGACGTGGTGTCAGACTGGTGGACAGGATGTCATCAAAACGGTGGAGCTTGTCATCGAACCGACACCCGTTCACTTTAACTTGAGCCCCAGGAGCGGGATAAACTCCGGTAAGATGTGAAACAAAAAAAAAAAAGTGACCCTCTATTTGGTTCCCTGCTACAACACAATTTGTGTCATGTGTGTTAGACATCGACCAAGCTTGGATGCGCAGTGTGAGGCTCCGGCAAATCGTCTGGCAGAAGACGCAGCAGCCAAACGCCGCCCTCCCCACTTTCACCAGCTCGGGAGCCTGCACGCTTCCTCAGTTCCTGTCGGCGCACGAAAGCCAAGCGTCGTCTTACGCGGCGGCAGCGCGGCGCTCGCCCGTCCGCTCCCCTGTCATCCCCTGGAACGACTCGCGCAGCTCCTCGCCCACCGCCGGCCTCTCGGCCAAACTGTCCCCGCTGTACTTGGGGTCAAAGGGCAGCAGCCCGTGCAGCACCACGTCAGAGGGCACGTCGGAAAGAGAGCGGCCCCTCAGCGCGGGCGTTGTCCTCGAGTACAGACGACAGGGCTTTTTTGGCAGCGCCGCAGGTCAAGGGAGGGGCAATACAAGAGGGGGCCAAAGCGGCAATAAAAGCAACAAAAGCTCACGACAGCCAATGAGGCCGCGGTCCAACAGTTACGGCTACGCAGCGCAGATCCGCCCACGCGTAATACCCGGTATTATGTCAGTGACGGAAAATCCCAATGAGGAAAGTGAGGATGCCAAAGCCAGCAACGATGGCGGCTGGATCAAAGTGGAGCGCCACAAAAAGTTACTGCGACAGGACAATAAAGCGGTGAGGGGTCGCCTGAGGCGAGGAGGGCGGGGAGGACGCGGCGCCGGGGGGAGGACTTAATATGGCGTGCGCCGTACATGTCAGCAACTGAATTGAGTTTACCATGTAAATATTTCAATCCATGCTCTTCAAGGGAGTTGTACAAGATGTGTAGGAATGAATTACGAGGTTTGTATTTTTTAAAAGCTAATTTAAATCATGCTCAAAATATATTTATTAAAGTTACAACATGCCTAAGAGTTGTTGCTTTTTTGTTTTTACTCACTTTTCTGATTGCACTGTTCCTAATTAAATGCCTTTTTTTTTTTTTTGCCAGTGAGCATATAACAGCATAAAGCGCTATACAAGTGAAAGTCCAAGACCAAACATGAAAAGCACACATCCATGTTTTTTCGGAGATATACAAAACTTGTTTTAAATGTATTTTGCATAAAAATGAATACTGTTTGTGAATATAGGTCACGTGTTTTGTTGGAGAGCTGGAAGATGGTCATGGAAGTAGGTTTGGTCAAAGTCTCCTGCATATATGTATAATCTTAAAAAAAAAATGTCTTTAATTTTTAATGTTAGTAGACTATCATAAACTTCTACATATTTATGTTACTAAACAAAAATAGATTCATTTCCACGAAACTTTGGATGAGTTGGCCATTTGCAGATCCGATTTCATGTTACTCTCCCCAAGACGCCGAATATTAGAGCGAAAGATTAACCACGTTTCTTTTTTCACTTACGCAATGCCTTAATCTTAATTTCAATCAAATGATTTAAACAGTTCAGTATGCATTTCTCAAACCATTCCAGATTATAAAATATTGGTAGAAAATAAAATGAGAAACATGTATTCTCTCAATTCCTCTGTGTATTGCAGAAACACTCGGAAGTTCAAAGTCAATTCTTTGGGGCGGGGTCATCCACCCAGTAAACATTATACGGCACATTTTGGAGTCTGTTCTCCAGGCAGTCAAAGTTGGAGGGAAATCCATCTTTTTACCCGCCTTGTATGCAAATTTAAAAGTGAAAAAATTCGCGCCACGCCGAAACACATGAAAGATACATATACTTGTGTGTAACAAATGAAATCTGTTTTCAGTTGTGCCGTTCAAGTACAAATAGATAAAAACGTGTTATTATTAATGTTAACACAAGGAACTTTGTCTGTCCTGCAGAACAAAATGTTCACGATTCCCTTTAAACCTGTGATTAATTTTATTTAGCTTCCAGGACATTCCAGTGGCGCGGGAAACTAACGTGAACCGCGCGCGCTCAGGGGCGGACGTGCTTTGTTCCCTACAGAGCGCAAGAGCCGAGCAACAGTGCGGTCCTCGCTGTCTCCACGCCGAAAACAGCTTCGAAGACTAAAATGCCTTGCACACGCTCCAAGGTAACACACCAAATAGTTGCTTTTTGTGTTTCTTGCTTTATTGGGTGCTGCCAAACGACGTTTTTAATTTCGTTTTTTACGCCAGGCGAATTTTGTTCGTTTACTACTCGAAAAGTTGCCCTCGTTCATTCACAACTGTTACAAGAATCTTAAACGTGTGCTCCCCTTGGCAGAAGTCAATATTTATGTATTTGACTAGTAGGCGAATAGAATTTGAGCACGTTTGCACAGGGGGAACAGCAACTACATTTGAGTACTGCCCCGTGTGTCAATGAGTTGGCTCTTGTATTGTCGAGCAAATTATAGTTTAAGAAAAAAAAACGCCTTGTCAGGTTGTTTTGTCCAAAAGTCATTGCTCAAATGTTAGCAAATTTGAGATGAAACGTCAATCTTTTCATAATTTCATATCTTACTTATTTCAGCCACTCCCTGAAGATGAATACAGACCCATGTTTCAAAAGTTACCCTACTGTTCAGATCTTCGAGGCTCACTTAGCAATGTTCTTTCTTTTTTGAATAGAAGAACATTTTTTAACCAGATCCTAGACTTTGTGATTAATTCAATCTCAACTTCGTGGAAAGAAACAGTTTTGCTTGTTGTCCCCAAATTAGGACATTTTGCAGTGACCTCAAAATTACTCGTCATTGACTGATTCGGGATCAAGTCCTTATTTTCTTTGTTGTTGTATTTTGTTTCATGATTGGAATTCTGAAACGACTCCTGTGGTAGTTTAACTTCATCCATCCATTTTCAAATCCGCTTATCCTCAGTAGGGTCGCGGGGCATGCTGGAGCCTATCCCAGCTGTCTTTGGGCAGTAGGCGGGGTCGAACAACCATTCGCGTTTACAATCACACCTAGAGACAATTTAGATGATCATTTAACCTGCCATGCATGTTTTTGTCATGTGGGAGTACTTGTAGAAAACCCACGCAGGCACAGGGAGAACAATACAATACATCTTTAAATATTTAGAACATGCAAACTCCATACAGGAAGGCCGGAACCGGAATTGAACCCTGCACCTCTGCACTGTGAGGCGGACATGCTAACCAGTCGTTCACCGTGCCACCCAGTTTAATTTCAATCCCATTTAAAAAAAAATGCTATGTATCTAAGTATATGAGCACAACTCTTTATGTACTAGTGCTTTCATCTCGAATATAAGAATACCCTTTCGGTTCCCGCAACTTCTCAACACTAATCTGTGTGTTTTATTTGCGAGTTTAAAAAGTGTCGTGATGTCTCTCTTACTTTACTACAGCGCGCATCAGCCCAGCCTCCATCCACCAGGATGAGTTTGAGGAGCTTCCGCAGTGTCCCCCTGGTTACCATGGAGACGTCGTCCTCTTCCTCAGACGACAGCTGCGACAGTTTTGGCTCCGACGGAGGCTTCGCAAACACGGTAATAACACGTGTGTTGTTACCGGGCGGCGATTAAACCTCTGAGCTGTGGTGCAAGCAACGTTGTTTTGTCTTTTTTTTTTTTTTTTTTTTTTAGAGGAGCAGCTCCCGACTGTCAAAGCGGTTGGTTGACAAGCCGAAGGCTCAGAAGGCCACTGCGGAGGAAAATGCGTGCACTGGGTTTGAGGAGGAACTCATCAACACTCGGATCAAAGCGATGGTGAGTTTAAAACAATGCACGGGCGAGAATGTTTCATTTTAGGATAAAATTAAAAATAAAAACAATCCTCCCAGAAAGTAGATCCCAATTCTGAGGCTGCGAGACGTGGCCGTCGGTCCAACCTCTTGAAGGTGGCCTTTGCCTTCCCAACCCGGAAGGCGGGCGCTAAAAGGCCCGCGTCCGAACCCCTCCCTCGACCTCAAGTGCTGGATTCCGATGAGGAAGAGGAGAACTTCATGACCAAGAGAGCCTTGAATATTAAAGAGAACAAAGAAATGGTAATAAAGACTTGCTTTGTCCAAAGTGAAGTGATAGGACTGGACTGGTTTACGTTTTTTTTTTTTTTTTTGATCGCTCACCCATGTTTTGTTTCAGCTCGCTAAACTGATGGCAGAGCTCAACAAAGTACCAGGACTCTTCCCCAAAACAATGACCTCTGCATCCACCAAGGTAAAATAGCACCTAAACCATCCAATCAAACGTCAAGATATACCACATGTAACAGGTGAAAATCTGTGATACAGAAAGAGACCATAAAAACTTGTTTTGATAGTTTTACCACTTCCGCGTGCCTTAAACATATTTAAATATTTTAAAACACACTTAAATTTATCCAAATACTGTTTAAAAAGTATTCCATAGCACCTCTTCTGAGTCTCTCTAAGGTTTGGTCCAACTAAAGTCGGCTAGCTAGCTTAATGTGACCGCATAACGTGAAACACCAAACAAAAGTTAGCATCGCTGTTATGGTAGCTTCAAACAAAGCTACTTAAACACATGGAGCAGCAACACATCCAAACGACTTACAACAAAAGCGAATTAAGCATTGTATTATTGAAACACCAGAATGTTTACCCAGACATATACAATTACTGTATGTTATACTAAAGTGTACTAGCTTAATGCAAGCTGCCATAGGCGCACATAAATTAGCATCGACGTCGCAGGAGTTTTAAACCTACAAGCAAATGCTACTTAAAACACACACGGAGCAGAAAACGCATACAAACAGGCCTATATTGTTTCTTTTTAGAATAATTTCAATTTACTGGAGATTACGGTCGTAATTGTAGCGAGCACAGACGACTTTCTGATTCTGTGCTTTCTCATCACATTTCAGACCCAACGTACACCTCGGCGCAACATGCCCGAAACTTTGAGGAGGAGCTCAGAGCGTCTGTCTCGGCCCCACACTCGCTCCCGCACGCTTGTGGACGGACCGCCCAGCCCGACACCAGAGGAGGAAGAGACGGAAGATAAGTTCAGCCTGGTGCGGCGAAGCCGCTACTACGAAGTAGTGGATGAGCCGGTAAGCTGCGTTTACATCTTTGCTGTTCTGTTGCTTGACACTGCTAGTAAAGCAAACGGCCAATCTCGTTTGGTGTCCAGGTTCGTCAACGCTCGTGCAACGGCCCCAAGGCCTTCCCTCACGTGGTGCGACCCGTTGATGAGGTCACCGAGTACGAGCTTGAGCGCATTTGCGACAACGTGAGGGAGAAGGTGTACAACAGCGTCACTGTGAGTCCGGCAAGAACGCACCATCCACACCCGGAGATGTGATTCCCTGCCGTTCAGAAATTATCCAATTTCTAGTGATGTAGAGTAATTTAACGCTGCTCCACTAAATAGCAGTGGTTACAATTAACCCGTGTAAACCTGCGCGTAGTTGACAACAACAAATTGTTTTTAAATTGCGACAAAGGCCTACTTTTATATAAATGAAGCCTTTGAACGCACAATCATTCTTTGGTGCCAAGGTGTCTGCAAAGCGGAATGAAGCTCTGCAACTCACCTCAACATAGTGCCTTGGCACAGAGATGTCAGAAAATGAAGCGCGTCAACTCACTTCAATTTTCAGTAATTCCTTGGTCCCGAGCTGGTGGAAAGGCGTCTAAATGACGCTACTCAACTTCATCCACCCATGTTCTAATCTGCTTATCCCCACAAGGGTCGCGGGCGTGCTTGAGCCTATCTCAGCGATCTTTGGGTAATAGGCAGGGTACACCCCGAACTGGTTGCCAAACAATCGCAAAGCACACAGACGAACAACCTATTGTGCGCACAATCGCACCTTATTTTAACATTTTCGAGCATTCCGTTAACCTGCCGTGCATGCTTACGGAATGTGGGAGGAAACCGAGGTACCTGGAGAAAACCCACGCAGGCATGGCGGTGGGGACCATGCAAACTCCACACAGGAAGGCCGAAGCCGGAATCGAACCCTGCACCACTGCACTGTGAGGCCGGCGTGACGCCCGTTACTCAACTCACTTCAACTAAATTGTTTGAGCTCAAGATGGCGTCAAAGCTCTACTTAAGTCTAAACAAAGCCCCTCCATTTACGCGAACATCATTTCTTTGGCCCAGGACAGCGGAAAAGGATTACTTTTGTCTAAATGAAACTCCTCAAAACACTTCAATGTAATCCCATGAGCCCAAGAGAGCACTACTTTTCAGGGAAGTGTTGGGACCAAAATTCGGCCCGCGAATTTGTGAGTTTTACATGAGTGCACATAATATACAGTTTAATCTCGACGAACTGGTGTCTATTGTTTTGGTTTGATTTTGTCGGGCATTTTCCACGATGCATACTTCATGTAATGCCCTTGCACGTGGGAAAGTGGAGTCATTTTTCTCTCCGTATCTCTTAACAGGGCACCACTTGCCACCAGTGCCGCCAGAAAACAACCGACACCAAAACCAACTGCCGCAATCCGGAATGCGTCGGCGTCCGGGGTCAGTTTTGCGGCCCGTGCCTTCGGAACCGCTACGGGGAAGAAGTGCGGGATGCCCTGCTGGACGCGGTGAGTTCCGAAAAGATCACACGTGTGTGTATTCGCTGTCTCACCCTCTGCAAGCGTTGTTCGAAGCCTCACGCGTGCCTCGTCATCCCCGACAGGACTGGCGCTGCCCGCCGTGCCGGGGCATCTGTAACTGCAGCTTCTGCCGCGCCCGTGACGGCCACTGCGCCACGGGAGTGCTGGTCTATCTGGCCAAATATCACGGCTTTGACAATGCTCACGCTTACCTGAAAAGGTGACAGACGAGAACTCTCTCTCTCTCTCTCTCTCTCTCTCTCTCTCTCTCTCTCTCTCTCTATTTTTAATAGTCGTAAGTTTGTTGACGTTGTGGTTTTAATTGTCGTTTTCTCCGCAGCTTGAGGAAGGAGCTGGAACAGAATAGCGAGTAATGAGCAGCGAATGGAGACGCCGAACTGCAAACTTTGACACTTTTGTGCTGTCGGTTCAGGTTTTTCATTCTTGGGATTTGCATTTGAAATGAAAACCTGAGTTGATCATCTGGGATAATTAGCAGGTTTTTATTAAGCACTGTTTTTTTTTTTTTTTTTTTTTTAATGCCGATTTCTGGAGTTAATCTGTACGTTTTACAGTTGAAAATACAGATGTGCAAGTATTTGCTGTATTTCGAAGTTCAATAGCAGCCTGTTAAGGAAAGATACTTAATTGTTGGCCATTAATTTCACTCTTTTATCACCACAGTCCGTTTTGACGGATGTTTCATGACTGGTGATGTCATTATCTTGATTTTATTTGCTTTGCAGTAGTATTTCCCATCTCGCACTCCAACCCCCCTCCAAAAAAAATGGCCCTCGGTGAATCCTATCGGCTTGTATGCACCTTCGACCTTTTCATTTAAGAGCTGGCAATTGTTCTGTCTGTCACGATATTTCGCTATCTTAGACGGTTAAAGAGACTCATTTTTGGTAAATACATTTCCGGACCAATAACATCAAATCATTGTAAAGCTTTAAGAAATGTGAATATTTTCATGAGCGGATATAAATACTGTTAATATTTTCTTACAGAGCTAGAACTGCTGTCTTTTACATTAATGTAGATTTCACACAGTGGTCTCTACTTGAACCTTTTTTTTTTTTTTAATTTCTTGTAAATGGGTTTCCATGTTAAAAAGTGTTCCGGGTGTGTCCTGTTGGAAGGGCACAGGCCGGGGGTGGGGGAGGCGGGGGTCCACCGCCCGCCAAGGAGCTCGATGTGATGTACTGTACCGCTCACATCTCCTTCATTAGATAACCGCCGCTAATGGCGTGGAAACAATTAGCGCTCTCTAATGGGAGTCTTGTACCTGTAAATCATTTCATCCTGCGCTCTGGCTCATTTTGTGCTCACCCTTGTGATTCTGGACACATGATGACTGCTTCGGGGATTATTTCATTCAGGGCAGGTTGGGTCATTTCTGGTTTGAGCCCACTGCTTGGAAACATGTTACTTGATCTGTAATTTTTTATTTTATTTTTTATAATATATATTAAAGTCATAATCTTTGCAGTGACAAAGTGTCACCTCAGACTTAAGAATCAATTGCTGTTTTGGGAAATGTGGATGCTGTCTGTGAGCGAAATCCCTTTTGGAGATGGACATTGTTTTATCTATGATGTCATGAAATTAAAAGAGCAGTTGAGACAGAAAGGCAAGATAACTATGCGGCATTACAGTAAGAGAGACATGGGGATGAATATCATTACTAGTGAAGCAAGAAACAGAGTTCAACCTTTATCTTGCTATAAATCCCCCCCCAAAAAAACCCAACTCCAAGTCTCAATATAGCAGTTCACAATACTGTGTGACAAATGCATAAGAACTTTCAATAAAATACATAAGACTCACCAACGATGCTTATTTATGGACAAAATCCACCCTCTTTCACTCCTCACAGAAAGGCAGGAGCAGGAATCGAACCCTGGACTGCGACATCGTGAGGCCGACGCACTAAATCGCTGTGCTACGCAGCTCTATAACTTAAATTTCTCTACGGCGTTTTCGCCTTGTTCTCTGTCTCCACAGCCGAAATGGCCACAGCCGGAAGCACGACATGCGCATTTCATCGGGGAAGCATCCGATCACAAATGTCCCCGAGATTCGTCATCGGTGGCACTGACACCGATGAAATGAAAGCATAGCCCCCCCGAGGGCAAAATTTGACGCGAAACATAAACAATACCTCTTAAGTCACAATTCGCGATACTGAGATGACATACTGTGAATAGTCGATGCAAACTGTTTTGTTTGTTTTTTGAGAGGCTCTCATTCCGACATCCGGGGACCCTGGTGCAAAACACCCACTCGTAACAGTGTTTAATCTTTGGGGAGAAGTAAAAATACACTCAAATCTAGTTGCATAAATGTACACACCCACCTCAGTCTTGGGTGTGTACATTTTGTTCAGAATTCGTCACATTCAAATTCATGTTAAGTGGGAGTCAGCGCACACTTGCCATCATTTAAACTAACCCCCCTAAATAAAGTTCAGCTGTTCACACTTTTTCTTTTTCTTTTTTTTTGCTTTTGTTTCTAGCACATTTTGTGATAACGCTGACTGCTATTTAGAACTGTTCATAAGTCCGCTTTAACAAAGACCCAAGTCTCAGCAGTAAGAGAATATTTAAACTTTTCGACACATCTTTTTGATGCAGACTGGGTGTTATTTTAATCCTTGCATATGCGGTAGGCCAATAAAAATGCAGCGAGTCCAACTTTGGACACCCACGCCTGATTTACAACATTAAATATTCAGGTATTACGAAAGGGTCTGACTCCCTTTGGACATGTAAATTTGGGCTTCAATGTCTCTCTCAATACAAAATGTGTATAATTGACTATGACAGACAACAAAATTGCATTAAAAAAATACAATCACAACTCCTGTCAAAATGGAACGTTTCCAAATCTATGATTGGTATTATAACGATGCACTTGAGAATCCGGCTCCTATTTTAAATACCAATGATCTTCCACTTTGGGGTGATGAATATTTGGCCAAGTAATTGTTTACAACACTTCAGCATTGAGCTGATCTGCTAATCACGCTATGAAATACAATATTTATTCATTAGAGCAGATTTAATGAGGCCTCGCGGTGCTAATTATGAAAACCAGTGTAGCAGTAAATGAGCAGCGTGTGGCGGCGGGCTGCGGGGTACCACTAACCGAGGGACGGGGGTTGTGAGGGAGGGGCGGGCGGGGTGGGGGGGATGCTGAAAGTGGCCTCAGTGACACGGCACCCATGCAGCCGTACATCACGTGACCTGTCGCACACACACATACACATTAAACTTCATATTATTAGACACAAGCAGTCGTGTCTTCCAGTGTGGCCGCACGTCTTGTTCATTATATTTAAGTTAAATTATATTTGACCCAAAACTTTACAGGACCTGTACAAATGAAAGCATTTTTCAAATATTTAAATTTTTGTGTCACTTCGGGTAAAGTTATCAACTTTCAGAGTGAAAAGAATGACAGTATAAATGCAGTCCCAGTGATGTACTGCCGGCCATAAAGCTTCAAACACGCATTGAGCACTTGCAGCTTCTATTTGTATGCACATGTGGAGATAAGCGGCGGTTTGACGGCGTCATAAAGATTTTGATTGACTGATATTTTCATTACGGCTGCGGGGAAACGTGGAGACTGCTGATTTGTCTCAGAGACCTGCAGGTCCATGCTGATTTCAGCCTAGACGAAAAGCGGAATAAATGGAAGTTGCGGGGGCACAATCACACACAAGCTATGGGTCACTATCAACTGATTAATTCCAACTTAGTTTGTCGGGCCTCTGTGTTCAACGCCTTTCTCTGTGACTGCGTGTTAAGGAAGGTTTTACTTTTTTGGTGCCTTTCCCCCCCAAAAAAATGTTGGTATCCTGTAATTGCTGGATGAACTTTAAAACAAGCCTTCTCCAAACGTTTGAATGCAAATGTCCAACTGTTCACTACTTTTTGCACAACTTGCTGTTCTTTAATAAGGACGGCTCCTTATTAGCTAACATCTTAAATTCAGATGTTTGATTCAAATTAATTACCATGGTTACACACTTCTATGCCTTTCTGTGACTCCTCCAGTCTCTGTTGTAAACTGCTTCTGACAGTGTGACAAAGCAAGTAATTTGCTCCAAACATTTTTTAAAACTGTGCGCGCGCGCGCGCACACACACACACACACACACACACACACACACACACACACACACACACACACACACACACACACACACACATCAAGATGTCAAGTCACAGGAGGATGAAAGAAAAAAAAACATTACAATGTTGGTCAGCCTACAAACCAAACCCCCAGTTGGGTGCGAGTTACCTGAGAAGAGGTCCACGCATACGGCATGAGAGTGGCAGGAGGCTCCCAAAGGCGTTCCTCCTCTCCAGCCCGCACGGTGATGGAAACGGGACTCGGGTTCTGCTGTCGCGGTGACATTATCAAAAGCAAAGAGCTGTCTGCAGTTGGTCCATCTCGATGGAAATTGCCAAGTCGCCCTAACAAAAGAAAAGCACAAGTGCACTTAGTGCCCCTTTTTAAGAGGAAAGAGTGATAAGGTGAGACGTGTCGTTTTGCATGCAAGATGCAGACGCTTGTGTTTTTCATGTGGCTGGCTTCTCCATATGTACACATGGATACATTTACGGCTAGTTTTTACTGGTAATTGATGAGCCGCCCTTCCCAAGACAAATACTTGGAGACTAGAAAGACACTGTGCACTTATATTTCAACATCCTCACATCAAAGAATAATGAAAGTGTTATACTGCGTAATGAATAATAAAAAATGTATTGAGATACGCAAACAAACAAAAAAAAATCAAACCACAATAATTCACATAAATGTATATTTGAATAAGCAATTGACCAAAAGTGACGTCCTTGCATGGCCAAAGCAATATGGGAATTTCCACTGCTGTCATTGAAATTCAATCAGCCAATGAATAGTTTAAATAATGCCGTTAAAAGTTTGTAGGCTAAGCTAAAGTTGACTAAATGCGCAATGCGTTTCCGACGACTGTAAAGCACAGATCCAGCTATGAACTCCACTTGGCATTCAAGTAAATGTCCATTTCCCAGATTTTTTTTTTTTGTTGGAACTGTCATTCTCGTTGCTACCTAACGGGGGAGCTCTAATACAGCAACTCAATTGCGCAAACTTTTGCTCGGCTTCGTCAATCCATTTGTCATAGTTTAGAAAGTCAGGGTAAGACAATCCATAAACACATCGGGAGTTTCACTGCTGTGAAAGGCTGAGCATTGATGTGAAAGTTGAGATTTCCAGCAAGGAATATTTTAGCTGCGGGAGGTAGAAGGTTGGGGGTCTAATTATGACCAAGGGGAACACTGGGCCGTTATCTGTAAATCTATTCCAACCTCGACTGAGAACTGGTACATTAGATCGATTTTATTGAGATCATACATTATAAATGGGGCATGGAGGAGCTTACGGCCTTGATATGCTGCTGCTCACGTGCTTCATTAATTTTTACTTCATTAAGTCCTTCAGACCCTTTGTCACACTAGTTGCCGTCGTGCTTGTGAATCCGGGATGGATACAAGACACAGGGAGGACTTTTTTACAACAGTGGATACATATTGTCCAAACAAATTCGTAAAACAGACAGAACAGCACATAACTTCCTTGCACAAGGTCACAAAATGACCAGTGGGTCAAACACATATACACTGCAAAACATATGCAGTGATGCTAAAACTGTAACTTCAAACAATGAAAAGGTTACATTGAGCGGCACTTTCTTCATCAAAGTGCAGAAATACATAATGGGAAACAAAGCAATATTGTATTGTATCAGACAATTAATAGACTTGAGTTGAGTGGTGACTTGACAATTACAAGTTATGTATTTTCAAGTCAGCCCCAAGGCTGAATACTTTTAAATCCAGGTTAGAAAATATTCTCCCCCACTGATTAAGGTCTTTAAAGTTTGTAAAATCAATTTCAATGGCAGCAATTTTAAAAAGCTACTTTTTATTTTTTTTTCATTTGCATTTAAATGCGTTTAAATGTTTTGTTTGTAAATTTGTTTAATTGTTGGTTCTTTTGGTTGTAGTTTCTTTTAATAATTCTTAGTTAGCGTTGTCTCGTGTATGAAACATGCAATTTTCGGTGAAACTGACTTAAAAAGAACAAATTTTGCCTTAGACAAATCTGTTGAGCCTACTGCTAACAAACAGTGCAAAACGTTCTCGCCTGGCTAATGGGCTAGCATCAGTGTCACAGGTGTTATATCCTTTATGGAATGAAAATGAAAAAAAGCACAGTTGACCATACTTTATAGAAATATAAATCAATAAATTCAGAGGAATTATAATGTGTGCTCAAATATAACTTGTTGAAACGTTTAAAACTACCACATTATCAATGCTTGTTTTGTTAGCTTGTCTAGCAGGGTTCTCATGCATTAGCATTAAGCTAGCAGACCCAAAGGGAAAGTTATGTGGTTTAGTGAAATAAATGATGTGTAATTCTCTTTGTTTTATGTCTCTTTTATTATAAACTTCAACTGGGTGTGGCAATAAACAAGCACTTGGCCTTTTTTTTTTTTGAAGAAGAAGAAGAATCGTTCACTATCTGCAGCTTGTTGTAAAGTTGGAACCATGTTGCGCTGGTACCGCAAATTTTAAGCGACTCAAGACAAAAATAAATAAATAAGTAAAATAAACAAATAAATTGTCCAAGTGACAGCTCATATCATGAAAACCTCATAAATCAGCAGTTTTTGATACAAGCGGCATAGAAAGAGGAGGCGTTGGAACTTTGGAATCAAGTACATGTTGACAGTCTTAAACTCTCACTGAGCATGAGAACATCACGCATGAGTGAGCAGCCGCTAAGTGAGAAGGCACGGACTCCCTAATATTTCAAACCTGTTTCAACAGCTGTCCCGAGGAAAAATGGGTACAAATTTGTCTGCTTGAAAGGCCCATGCCGTCATGACATCTGCCATTTAACAATATCTCTCATGACAAAATGTATTTTGAAGCCAGTTACCTCTTAAAAACAACACAGAAAGAGAGAGAGCGATAATTAGCGCCAGACACCACGTTATAATCTTGGGGATTATTTGCACCACTTAAAAGCAGCACACATTGTTTGCACCATGGCCGGGGCAGCATGAACAACACTTGAGCACGTTTGATTTAGATTTTTTTTTTTTTTTTTATCCCCTTACCCTCAGTCACCATTTAACTCCATCTGGAAAACGTTGTACATGTGCGCCCTATTCCCAGTACCCAAATCTTTGCGAATAAAGTCCCCCCCCTCAAATAAAAAGCACTCAGCAAAACCAAACACTGCAATTTTGTTGTCAACTGCTATCATGCCATCTTATTTTCACTCCAATGACGAGAACCGTTTCAGGGTTTCTTAATGTCTTACATTATACGTTGGTTGTTAATTAGTTTTGCTGAGGCTTCATAAACTGCTCAAAGTCATTTGTAGTGGAAGTCATATCTCGAATGACACTATGTGACAGACATTTTTTTTTAGAATACTATTACTTTGATGTAATGTCAGGTGAGAATATAGAGGAAAAAAAAGTGTAAAATAACAGAATTTGAATCAGCCTTTGAATTTGCATTGCTCAACTTCAAAGGGTACGATTCAAATTCCGTTTTTTTTTCAATGCAGTGGTTGAAGGTTAGCAACTGAAATTCAAATAGAAATGTTTCAAATTCATTTTCTGGTTGCACATATTTCATCCTCTTGTTTGTCGTCTCAATGAAATAAGATGCTGAGGTGGTTCCGCATTTGTAACAGCCCTCTAAGTTAAATCCTAATGACAACGTGGCCGAGACAAAAACAAAAAAAAAAACAAAGCAAATACACAGTTTTGCCACTGCTGATCCAGAGCGCTGCAATAAAGAGACATGCCCTCAAAACAATCTTTTCTCCTTGCACTAAATGAGTTCACATAGAGTGAAATTAAACTATAAATTCATTTTTTTGTGGAGATCCCCTCAGGCACTCGGAGGGGCTCCCCGGTTTCACTTTTGGGGCATCGAGTGAACAAAAATAATCCCAAAGCTATTTTCATTTAAATAACACTTTGTAGTTTGTGGAAAATCTCTCCCTAAATATAATTGGCAAAATGTAAAAATGTGACCCTGGGGCTGCTTGCTCGGGCCACGCTGCTCAGGCTACGTCACAGAGGACACGTCTGGCACACAGATTGAATTTGTTCTCTCTCATGTCAACGGCATGAAAACAATTAACTGCACATTTGAGTGCGTACCACTTGACACACTTTCTCACCTCGCTGGGACCAAGTGTCCGCGGAGAGGACGTCATTAATCGCAGCGTTTCACAAAGACGGCATTGTTATTTTTTTTTCCGGATTTGGGAACGTTTCAATTAGTCGACGGATGGAAATAATAAACGAGACTTCTCGTGGACGCGCTGGCGTCGTGGAAAACGCGAGAAGCCGTGCAAAGTTTCTCGCCCGAGATGATCAAACGGGCCCGTCGCTAATAGCGGCGGGTGACATGGCCAGTGAATACAGATCAGCTTTAATTGTGGTGCCTCTCGCCGCCACTGTCTGTCAACGCGGGCCTTTCAATCGGCGGCAATTTGCTCCCTTCCGTCCCTTCAATGGTCTTTCCAATTAAACGCTTTACAATTCAGGATCTTCACTCAAGGTTAAATGAAAGCAGTTATTCCTGTCAGGGAGGTGATTAAAGGCTGCCCACACCAGGCAGAAGAAGAAGAAGAAGGGAAAAAAAAATTAAACTTGGGATCTTTATTCATTATATGCAGCCCGCCCGGCACAGCGGCTCATAATCACCTTGTTCACTTTAAATCTTACTTAAGGCCTCAAACAGGAAGCATGCTAATTTAGAATGTTATTCAAATTGGATTGT